TTTTCACACACACACACACACGCATATATATATATATATATGCATATATATATATACATACATATATATATATACACATATATTACAGCGCGCTCAACTCACTATTGCTCACGCCATGTTTTCGAATCCCAAAGCCATCCTGGATCCCGAAGAGTCTCAAATGGAAACTAGAACCCAATACTCGCTCATGTGACAACCGTGCTCGCGAAGGCAATTATCAGCCTCAAGATAAACAGTAAAGACGACCAATGCTCAGTAAAGCCTCAACCCTAAATCTTAACCATTTACTATGCCATGCAGCGTAAACCTGAAGACAGAATGTGATATGTAATGGCATCAACACTTGAAGGCATTCCCGAGAGCCTCCTCGTAGGCCTGCTGCTTCGCCAGCACGTCGGCCTCCTTAGCCTCGCAAGAAACGATGAACTTACGCGTGACCGCGGTATTATCGATTAGGATGGAAGTACTCTCATCACGAGAACACTACACTGCATGAGAACTCTCTGTTCTAAGCACTCCAAGCACCACAGATCCCCCCAACGGTGTAGAACCCTCACCCCTGCTGCAGGGCCTCACTCAGCGCTTTCTGCGCTGCCTCCATCTGCATCTTCGCCATCATCGCCTAGGCCATTAGGGGGCCTGAATCGCGGACTCCAGGAGTTCATGGGTTTAGTCAGTGTTTGCCTCGTGCCGCTTGTCTGGCAACGTGGAAACTCTTTCGGGGGTGCTCTCTCCCTGTTTATGGACATGCAGTCAAGCTTCTGGCATTTGAGAGACGGCTTCGTGATACACTGTCTTCTTGGATCCGCCGATGGCCTCTTGGCGAAGCCAGCCAACTGAGGAGGCTCGCACATCCAGAAAGCCACCTGATCCAGGTATCTGTGCCACCAATCCCCAAAAACGTGTTCGCCGAAGGCTTTCTGTTTGCATCAAGCCTGCTAAAGCCCCTGCTGGGTACACACTGAAAGCTCACGGAAGATTAGCGAGTGGCTGACATGCTAAAGCCTGCCAAAAGCTCAACGACAAACACAGAGGCATTAGGACATCACGCAGAGTCTCCATCCTTCAAGCCTCAAGCCGAGCTGCCTGAGGATTCGCCCCGAGCCAAACAAAACTATCGCAGATCTTGATAAGACAGAAACCCCGCGTGCCTTCCACGGGGTCTTGGGCAGCAATGGTGGTCAGCCTTAGCTTGCCAGGTCAACCCTCCGCAAGCGCAGGCTCAAGGCATGGAAGCTGAAGATGAAACGGGGCGCATCCCTTACAAGACAAGCATTGGACTCTGAAGGAGCCCAGCGACCACAGGTTGGACGGAAGGAGCCGTTTCTCAAGAGGGAATGCAGAGACTGCGTGCGAAGCCTTCACACACTCGAGAGCCCCGAGCTTTGAACCCCCCCTTTATCCACAGCAAACCTGTGATGCCCGAAGCCCCGGTGCAAAGCCCAGAAGCAGCGTGGTCTTGCCACAGCCGTTGGGCCCCACTACCACCGCACGGGCACCCACCGGAACCTCGAGGTCCACATTCGAAAGAATCTCCTGAAACCCGCAAAATTTGCGTGACCCAACTTCTGTGACCCAACTTCCAAGTGCAAGTCTACAGTCTCCTGGGCGACAGCCAAACCCTCCGCGACAAACACTGATTGGTCGACTGTCAACTCGACGCAAAAAATAATGCTGCAACAAACCAGAGTGACAATCACAAAGACAATGGCATGACAGCCACGGTGTCCTCTCCCGCTCTGCGGACGGTGGCCTCGTGCATTGCCACCATAGCTGCGCGCCGGCAAAGCCTCGACGCCTCGCCACATGCTGAGTTTGAGAGAACTACGACTACGAACCAGCCGCGCGAGGCCCATAGGGGAGGCCGGCCCGGGTCCCCCATGATGCTTCGAGGCCATGGCCCGCTCAAACCGAGGACCTTTGCATCTTCGGCAAACGAGGAAAGCAGCACCTCCAGCACGGGTATGTGCGGGATGGTGGGCTGGGTCGCGAACTGAACTGGCGGGTACCGTTGTACACTCTCTCTTGCACCCGTCTTGCGATACTGCCGGGTTCTCTCTGCAGGTGTGCCTGCTGCGAGCCGATTCAGAGGCAGAGTTCTCTGAGGCTCTTGTCGTCGAGCGGATCGTTGGGCGGGTCTCGAGGTGCCTGAGGTGCCTGTCGCAGGAATCACATCCAAAAAAATCACTTGCTGCATCATCGAACCGGTGCAGACGGAGAGTGTCACCAAGGCACCTGAGCCTAAGCCTCCATGGAGGCTAGCCCTAGCAAGTGCGCCAGGTAAGTCGGCTTGGACGAAGCTCCAGTCCATGGCTGCAAGCAAGGCTGATCCAGCTTATTATGATTCAGGGCTGCGGGTTGAGGGATCTTGGGAAGAAAATGTCATTCGAGATGCAATATGCGGTTCCCATGGCAAGGGGAGTACAAGTTTGGCTGCAAAGCTTGGTTGGGCCAACTCAAAACCACTCCGACACCATCTCCCTGTTTTTCCATCGAACTCCTCAAACTCCAAAGCTGCGCAAGAAAGGGCATCAACGGATGGCATCTTGGAAACAAGCCGTTGCAGATCAATCTACCGCTGTCCGCACCGCAAGTCAAAATGTCATGTCTCTGCAGCGCAGGGCGGTGCATATGCTCGGGCTCCGCGCGGATAGGTTTCATCGAAGGGGACACAGGGCTGTGCAGGAATCAGAATGTGTACTTCACTCGGCATGCAGCTGCCATACGAAATCCCGGGCCTTTTCCGGCTTCAACATAAACAAAACTGAATGTCATGTGCTCGGTGGCCTCTTCTTGGGCCATGCATGGGCGTGGGCAGCTATGCCTCAACAAAAATCACACCGATGATTTTTTGGGCGTGGGATCAATCCATCTGGTGGGTCAGAGAGCAAGCATCATCGTGGCCCGCTCCCTGCAAACCCCTGCAGGAGCTAGGCCGCTAATCTCCTCGACAATACGAGCAATGTGTTGAGACAACGACAGTGGCGACGACGACGACGACGACAAATACGACTACGACTACTCGGGCGACTACCACGACCACGACTACAACCGCTGCCACCCCAGCAGTCGTCGTCGTAGTAGCAGCAGTAGCAGCAGGACTAACAGGAGGAGTAGGAGTAGAGTAGTCGTCGTCGTAGTAGTAGTAGTCGTCGTCGTCGTCGTCGTCACTCAGAACACATTGATACGACGTTACGACGTGCGGCTCAATAATGTCGCCCAACAGCCCGACGGGAACTCTCTGCATACTGTGCCACTACCAGGAGTGCTCGCATCACATTCAGAGCACATTGGCACGATGCGCAGCTCAACAATGTCTTTCATCGGCCCGCCGGAACCTCTCAGCACACTGCGGCACTACCATTGGTAGCAGTGGGAGTAGGAGCTGTTGTTGTTGCTGCCGTAGTAACCCAGCCAGGTTCCAACAAACACATTTCCGGATGCTACAACACCCAGGACAACCTTCAACTCCTTAATGGCCAAGCAGGACCTCACCCCAAAGCCGAAGGCATCGGACCGAAAACACGCACGAGCTTGACCCCTGAAGTTCGGTCTCCGGACATGCCGTTGTTCCAGAAGAAGGCCTCCCAAATCAGCCACGCGGATGACGGGGAATTGTAGTTTTCGTACATACCCTATCTTTGTCTTAGGCTGCCTCTAGCTTTCGACAACTACATGTATGTAGCATCCCGCGTGGCGGTTATAGCAAGGTTCGATATCGTCTGCTCTATCTACAGAGAACAACGCTGCTTCAATGCAACGGCTTGCTCACTGGCCTTTGATGCATTACTATGGCTGCACCCCAATGCGCCCATTGTGCTTGGGTCTGAGCCTCCGAAATGGGAAATGGAAACCGAAACCTCACATCAGCCGCTCGCTTCTTGCTGCCGCGACTGCTATTGATACTGGGCCTGGTGCTTCTGCAACTGCGACTACTTACTTGCTGACTTACTCACTCGTTTACGTACTTACTTAGACTTACTTCAACTTACTTACCTACCTACCTACCGACAGACCTACCAACGAACTAACGAACGATCAAAATGAAGAACTAGCTAACGAGCTAGCTGACTATCTGACTGGCTGACTAACTATACAACAACAACAACAACTACTACTACTACTACTACCACTACCACTACCACTACCACTACCACTACCACTACCACTACGACGACTACTACTACTACTACTACTACTACTGATGCTACTGATGCTACTGCTACCTCTAGTGCCACTGCTGCTGCTACGGCCACTGATGCTGCTACTTCTACCTTCTACTACTACCACTACTACTGCTGCTGCTGCTGCTACTGCTACTGCTACTGCTGCTACTACTACTACTACTGCTGCTACTGCTACTGCTACTGCGACTGCCACTGCCACTACTGCCACCACTACTACTGCTACTGCTACTACTACTACTACTACTACTACTAGCCACCCCCCCCCTCCTACCAACCACCTGGCGCCTCAATCCACCACCATCATCGGTCATC